TCTCTCTCTCTCTCTCTCTCTCTCTCTCTCTCTCTCTCTCTCTCTCTCTGGAGCATTTGGGAGAAACACAAATACCTTCCTCTTGATCCTTCTTGGGGCACTTTTGTCCTGCACATAGGATCCTCACATAGATTCACTCCGTTGTCAGATCAGGAGTGGAGTGGAGACCAGTGTGAGCAAGGGAAGATGGGAAGACTGCAGCTTCTGTGGGGTCACACTGCAGTCAAGGGCAGGTAACCCTGGTTACAAGGAAGCCCTGAGGCACATCCAAGCAGCCAGAGAAGGCAACTGAGACAGCTAAGTGTGGGTGGACTGGACCAGCGTGTGGCGATGGGGAGGGTGGTCACTGGGAATCCCAGGAGACACAGTGGTGGGGGACAGGGCCACTGATGGCTGCCATTTAAGCTTGCGTATCCCTAAATATCCATCGTGTTCAGAATTCCATAAAAGAAAGCAGGGGAGCCAAGTTCCTCTGTGTGTGAGGAGAGCATACTGCAGGGCCCTGTTTTAGCAGCTGACCACTGCGATCAGGCTGAGTCATTTGACAACATCCACGCTGGTACCAGCCAGTCCTCAGATGGTAACCTGCACTGAGGGCTCAACAGACAGGGCCTCTGGGGTACATCAGGATTTTTAATTAGTTGAGAAAACTACATTGTAGGAACTATGAACAAACACAAAGTCTTAGAACTTTTGTTTATTGTCTACAAATTGAGGATAAGGATGATGCTAATGTTTATCTAGTTTTTTACCATACCAGAATTCAGTAAAAAAGACCTATCTCTTTAAATGTATATAAACACTCACTGAGTCAGATCAGCAAGACCTATGCAGCTTTAATTATTGAGGGTGTTTTCCCCCAACTCTTGGCTACGACTCTGAGCCTGCAGCTGGAGAGCAACACGTGTGTGCCATGCATGTGTGTGCCCGGAGGAGACAGAAATATCAGCTGGCAGCTGGAACAGCACAGGCTTCTGGGAAACCAGCACTCACCGGGAACCCAGGAAAGCCTCCTGAGGAGGTGACATCCGCACTGGACTTCCAAAGGTAAGATGGAACCCAAGAACACAAACATCTGGCATCTGCGAAGGCAATGTGCTCATCAAGGACGCCCCGGGCTTGGGGGAAGCTTGCTGGAGCATCACCCTTCTCATCAACAGAACGACACGGGAGGGGGAGCCCACGCCCACAGCACCCCAGTCTTGTCACTCTGCTGCAAGCGTTTCCATTTTGTTCCTTAACTCTGATGCTTAGACAATGTATTAAAACTGTTTTTTTTTTTCCCTTTGGGGGGTTGGGTGGAGGTGGTGTGGACACGGGTGTCTGGAAGGACTGTGACATGTCTATCTACCTACATCTTGTGCTACATTAAGCCAAAGTGAATCCAAGAAGCCCGTGGAAAGCAGCAGGAGGGCATTGGGAAGAAGTAGGCATCATCAGGAAGCAGAGGGAGGGCATCGGGGAGCAGAGGGAGGCATCAGGAAGCAGTGGGAGAGCATTGGGAAGCAGTAGGAGGCATGGGGACCAGAGGGAGGGCATCTGGAAGCAGTGGAGTGCATCAGAACCAGGTAAAAATGAGTCACAAATGTTCCAGGGATTCCTCAAGTAATCATAGAATTGTTTAATGATAGAATTATTTTTCATTTTCCACTTATTATAAATAACCCACTTCATTACTCAACCATCTCCTTGAAAAAATTTGGTATTTAGCATAGACACTGAGTGTCAACCAGAGATGTGTCAGTTAAAAACAGAACAGGGAAGGATTTAAAAAATCCATAAAACCTTAAAACCTGGAACATGGGTAGAGACTGCATTACCATTCTTTAAAATTTCAGCTGTTAAAAAAATTCCAGGTGGAAAAATGAGTAAACATAAATATAATCTAATGTATTCCTTTATAAATACATTTGTACAAACAGAGATTGACAGTGCATAAACACAGGAAAATATTTAAGCTGCTAATTAAATCCTAATGAACACAAATTAAAATAAATTTTAAGTCTATTTTTGTTCATCATGGAAAAAATATGTTATCCAATTTGTGTAAAAAGAGAAGTTGCCACAGACATGTTACTAAAGCCATAAAAACTCGGGATATAAATCAGATTACTGGAAAACAAGACACATTTTTAAAACAAAAGACAAAATGTTCTCCTAGCATTTTCAGCTGAACTTTATCCCACAGCCACGCCTACTGCAGGGTTAGAGAGGTAGAGAAGTTGAAGGGGGAGACCAGTGTTCACATGACGTGGGAGGGGTCTCACTACAGCTCTGGCAGACAGACAGACAGCTGTAGGGACCAGACTTGAAAACCTTTCTGTCACTGCCAGTTCCTCCCAGCAGTGTCCCCACAGCTGGTTCAGCAAGGCCTGGCTCAGGGGTGGAGCTCTGGTGCGAGTTAGGAGGTCCTGACACCGGTACACGGTGCTGACCATGCTAACCATGATGTAAACTAGCCCCACTGACAGGCCCAGCACTGAATTCTAGAGGAATGATTGCTTTGTTGTGGGACTACAGCCACCACTACCAACAAGAAAGGCAGCTGCTTAGGAGACAGCAGGGCCTTGGTGCGACCCAGAATGCCCATTTATCTGTTAAGTCAATGAAGTATTAAGGAAACACAGGCAAGGCGCTCCCACCATCTAGTGCATTGCTTTATTGTCATTTGGGTCCAGCTTCAGGTCTTCTGGCCACTGAAGGCAGTATCAGACCCTCCTCTGAAAGCTCATGCCCAGTTCCAGGACTAGTTCCGTTTGATAACTTGGTTAATGGATGGTCTTGCGCCTTCTGTGCTGGGCCCTCTTTCCACCTGACTAGGCAGCGTGGACATGTAACATCTGCTCATGTCCATGACCTTATGTTTCCTTTGACACCTAAGGGCAATGATTTGATGTCTTAAGAGACGTTGCCAACATCTGTTGAGCAAGTGACGGACACGCTCATTCATGAATTGTCTCAGATGTCTTCAGTGCACAGAATGAAAGGGTGGAACAGGCTGCGGCTTGCCAACAGGAGCAATCTGGAAGTGTGTAACAGGAAAAGTGCTTGGTCCTAGCTGTGGAATGTGAACACAACCCACTGTTAACTGCTGCGACTCTCCAACTGACTGTGATGTTTGTGTGTGAGTGTGCAAGTGAAATGTGAGACAAAGGAATTCTGGAAGAGAGGGAAAGTGTGCTGATTGGATTGAGAACCTTGCCACACTCCGTGTTTACCTCAGGACTCACATCAGGCCTTCTTTTGAAGCAGCTCATAATAAGTTTAAGCTATTTCCCCACACCCTTATGATGGGACCCGTGAGCTTTCGGAGTGGGCGGGGACTAACTGAAGGGATGTCTAGAAACGAGGATGACAAGGAATGAGGCACCTTATGCTTCCCAGCCTTGCGTCGATCTGACCCCTGCTGAGTGGATAAGGAAGAAGCACGTCGCAGACGCAGAAGTAAAGGACCACACAGCGAATCAAAGTGTGCAAAGGAGACTTGGGAATCTGTCCCTGTCACCCAGAGGATGGTTTCTGGATGGCGTGACCTCATTTCAAATGCTACAGTAGCTATTACAGAGCTGTACACAAAAGGCAGTGCAAAGAAAACCTTTTAGCTTTTTGTCCCTTACTAAAACTTTTTTCTGCATTAAGAAAAAAAAAATTAATCCAAAATACTGTTCACCCTTGGCAGTCACCAGCAGAATATGTTTTGAAAACAATGATCTTATCAAAAAGATTTTAAGGCACTTAAACAGGTATACCATATCTTTTCTGTAAAAAAATAAAATAGGCATCAAAGCAACATTCACATGGACAAGGGTTCAGAATGGCCTGCAGGCACAGCCCTGTACATATATACACCGCGGTCTTCAGGACGGCGCCTCCTGAGTCAGACAGTCGGACTTGTCAACTTCACTCCCTGCAAGACACAGAAACAGTTCAGACTTGGAGAGTCTCCACGAACAAGGGAAAGTATCAGCTCATACCAGATAACGTACGCTACTGAAAGGAAGAGGCTGCTGCTATGAATTTCATCTGGAATGTCCCCAGTAGGTCCATGTGTTCAAGCTTGGTCCCCAGAATGGTACTATACCACGACTAGAAGATGGCAGGACTTTTAAGAGGTGGGGCCTAGTGGGAGACATTCAGGTCACTTAAAGGGGAATATAGGGCCTTGGATAGGATCTTGGCCCCCACCTCTGTTCCCAGCAATGAGGGGAAGGGCTTTATTCTCTACACTGCTCTCACAGGCCCCAAATCAACAGAACAACTGATCATGGACGGAGGCTTCCAAAACAAGGGGCTAACATAAACGTCCTTCTTTGTAAGTCTTGGTATTTGTTATAGCAACAGAAGGCAGACTGGCACACTTACTCAAATGTTCTATATAACCAACTGTACACCTAGAAACAGACTTAGCTGCCAGCCACCCGGTCGACTAACAGCTCCCCGAGCCTGGCTTGGCTATTTGTATCCTTATGTTCTGCAATAGGGGGATATTCTGGTTCTCATTAGCATTATCTGCAGAACAAACATAGTCATAGTTCCCTGAGGAAAGGTTCTTAGTATTCATTTTACTAGGTAAATATTCCAGGCTTTTGGATTATTCAAAGTTAGCCATTTCTAACAGGAAAATGAATAGCATGGTCCAATTAAGTGGCAAAAATTTTAGTCATTTGGAAGAAAACTCATGCAGTTAATTTTGTGTTTACTGTGACTGAAATATTGTCGCAAAGAGTTGTCTTCTCCTTCTCCTTGTACTGAGTACTGAATCTAGGACCTCGTGTATGTTAGGTAAATGCCCACTCACTAAGCTACACCCTAGTCCTTTATTTTGAGATCAGTCTCACTGAAGGACTTAGGACAAGATTCTTACCTCCGATATGTAATTTCTACCCTGTTTTTAACACTGTCTCTGGGGAAGTTAACACTGTCTTCTGGTGGGAAATGTGGCCAGGCTAATCCTGAACTTATTTTGTAGCCCAGAATGGGCTTGGATTGAGGCAAGTAGCAGGCAGAATCGCAGTCCTGCTAATTTTCTTAATTCTTTGTCAATATTTATATATTTACACTCTGAGGGGGCAACACTGATAAATGGAAGAGAAAACCTCCAGAGAAGGTGAGAAGAGAAGATGACACTGACCACCTTTCTCTAGCTCTGAGCACGGGTTACACAGTGCAGCTCAGAGAGGAAGCCAATCCACTTTCCCAAGGCTTACAAAGTAGGAAGAGTTTTTAAGCTCCTTGTTTTGGAAGTGACCCGAATTAGTGATGATTCACTAATTTGGTGGGCTAAACTTCTCGTGTAGGACCTCAGGGGCTCCCTGTGAGTCTTGTAAGACTTCTCTCTCTGTCACGTGTCACAAATAAATATATGGCCAAACAGAGTTTTCCACTCTAAAACTAGCACCGAGATAACCACAGGTCTTGGACAAACTGTTGAACTCTCTCATCCCATTTCCTAACGTGTAAAATGGCAATAGCATGAGCATAGCTGTAGCGAAGCTGTGAGCTCAGGCAGGAGGCCTCAGCATCCATTATCTGACCAAGGCAGAGAGCAGGACGTGCCTTGCACACACATCCTGTGACCATCCTGTCATTCAGGACGCTAGGGTCTCAGCGCAGGGTGCTCTGCCACTGTGTGCCTCTTCTCACACATCTGTTAGCAGCCGCAGATAAAATGGCTTCTGGAAGGGCCGAGCCACTAGAGAGAGGGCATCCCATTGTGACACCCAATTCTGAGCACCACCTAGGTTTCTTTGAGCAATTGACTTAATTATTTTAATTAATACTTTTGGAAATTAAATCTAAAGAACCTACATTATAAATATTAGGTACTATATGTGGTGAAATTAATATTGTGTGGGCTCTTTTGATAGTTAACTTTTACATTTTAATTCCCAAACACAGTTTTACCATATGGGAAAATGCAATGTGGCTAAGTCCAATTTGGGCCATATTCAGAAAAGCACAGAGGAAAGCCACCCGGGTCCACAGTGAAGTGCACCAGAAGGGGTGGTTCATATTTTAGAAGTCCTATCAATATTCCCTTGACTATGAGTATGTTAGAGTATTTGAAAATTGCATCATAAGTATTATTCTCTTTCATAAGTCATATAATACTCATCCTTCTTGATCAAATTGAATGGACCAATGTATACTGTAATTACACATTCATTTGTATATCTCTGAATTTTTATGTATGCACACATGTCCTTGTGTCTTCTTCAATTGCTCGCTACCTTATTTTTTGAGACAAGGTCTCTCATGTGTGTGCATGGCTAGACTGGCTGGACAGTGAGTCCCCAGGATCTTTGTCTGTCTCCCAGGGCTGGAGTTAGAGGTAGGCACTCACACGCCTGGCTTTTTCTGTAGATGCTGGGGTGCTGACTCAGGTCCTAATGTTTGAGCAGGGAGTAATTCAGCCACTCGGTCATCTCCCCAAATTCCTGCTATGACATTTCATTAATAAAATACATACATTTGAACAATGACATACCAGAGAAAAATGTAAGTATAGGAATCATCTGAATCCAGAAAGAGAATTTCAGTCTAATCTGGATTCAAATCCAATCTTCCTAGAGCCTCACCTTCTGCCTCGACACCATCCACGACTTTATTGTTGGCACTAACACACTTCCCAGCAGAATCTGAGCTGGGTGGTAGATGAGCAAGGGCACAGATATTAGTGAGAGATGCTCGTGGCCTGCAAACACTATCTTCAGCATTGGAATTCCTGTTAAACCAAGAAGACAGAAAACGAAGAGGCAAATTCAGGTTGGTGTCAAATTAAAGGCATGCTCTATGAAAATCAGAACTCAGATGGCCTATGACTATATTTCCCTACGTTATTCACAGACCTGAAACGGGAAGATCTCAAAGTTGACGGGCCTATCTTTCTTTCATGACACAAAGTTCTAAGCTCTATTTGGGACAGAGAAGACTGTTTGGGATGCCAGTGCCTCTCACTCAAGACTGGCAACTCCGCCATCAGAAGGAGGAAGACTAAAAACTGGAGGAGTTACTAAGACAGCTGGGAAGGATTGAGAGGCTGATCGTGCATCTTCTCCAGCTCAGTGGTGTAAGTGTGTTGGTTGTTAGGGATCCCCAAAGATGCAGGAAGATAATGTATGGTTGAGACAGTTGTCTCATGGGAAGATACTCTAGCTGGGTGGAGTCCTGAGATTCAACCCAGGATCTCACTTCTAAGCACGCATCTACCCACAAACCTTGAATGTCATTCTCAAGGCCAAGGATCCCAATGTGATTGATTGTAACAGGTAAACTGCAAAACTAGCGCTTCAGTGACAACCATGCTGGACTGCAATCGGATGACTACCGCACTGTGAACCCACCAGTCTAGTCTAGAAGAGTGGGCTAGACAACTACCCACTGTGGCTTCTTCAGCTAGCGAAATCTAGCCAGTACAGCTTAGATGCCACCACCACTGCTTTATTACGGCTGCTGTGTACACATGTCATTTCTTACAACCAAGTGCTTTAAAAGCGCAGCTTTCTCCTTGTTTTTATGAAACGGTCTCTGAAAAGGGTCCGAGTGCCTAAAGCCCAATGATGGTGCATAAATTACTTATTGTAGCACAACATGGAAGGCTCAGCTTCCCAATTATTTTTAACCTCCCAGTACATTTTGAGCCTTTATGCAAAAATACTCAAGACTGCTCTCTTCTTCACAGCCGCACACAGCACTGCTGGAAAGTGAAAACACTCAACCCTCCCCAACAGGAGCCTCTCTCAGGCTTCCACGGCACACATTTAGATAGATACCTTCTTCTAGTTCTACGGTCTCTAGAAAACTCAGATCAAATGACAACAAGAAGACAAGGAACAAGAGAAAACAAATAGTTCTGTACAAAAAAGTGAAAGTGTAAGAATCCACGTTTTGTACACATTACGCACAGCCTTGGAAAGTTTACTGCGGACTGAGAGCTCCGCAAGCGCCACTCCCCATTGCAGACAAGCTCTCCCTTCCGTGGTCCACATGGATGCTGCCTAGACTGGAGGATAAGGAAGTCTGCTGAGCTCTGCTGCCCCTGAGGGACTAATAAGGAGGCACCAGGGGATGAGAACCAGAAAGGAGGGAGACTAAGGGGTGAGGGGGAGCATGAGGGAGTCTGAAGGGAACAAACGATAGAAGTATGGAGATCTTTGTCCTGAAAAGTGAGATTAGAGCAGGCTTTCTGACTATCATTGCTCAGCTAACCCATCCATGAATCCAGGCTCTGTGCTCCTCCAGCAAGCTTAAGTGGGCGCAGGAGAAGCCAGGGACCAGGTGCTGCTGCAGTTATCAAGGCAACAGAACCAACTGCAGAACATCCAAGCTCATCACACGACGCAGAGGTCCCTCGACTAGGAAGACACAGACAGACAAAGTGGAAATGAAGGCAGGCACCGGGTGCACTCCGAGGTCACCGCCTTAGGTGCATCACTCAGAACACTGCAACCCGGGGCACAGAAGAGGGTCTGATATGCACTTGCTGTCTGTGCAGGCCTGCTTCTGCAACACAATTCTCTGGACTGCAACTCCTCCAGGGCAGCAGTCCTTGAACTCCCTTGATCCCCACACCACGATGGTGCTGAGATTTCACGTGGATGAAAAGCAAAGCTACTGTTAGGGCCACCCCAACAAGGCCAAGGTTTGACCTTCTAGAAGTTTCTAGTGTGCTGGTGGTCTTGCCAGTCTTTGAACTGGAGAGGCCTGAAGCTCTCTTGTGCTGAAGCTTCCCTCAGATCATTCCTCTCATCTTCAAACATACCTTCTGTTCACACGGACTCAGCACACCGTGGTTGGCTGCACCCTCAATGTTCCTGCTAGTTTGGAGGTGAAGATGGAAGGGGCTGGGAGGGTCTCTGCTCCCACTGCTCCGCTTCAGCCAGCACTGACACCTTCACAGGGCATTCACACTCTTGTCCTCCCTCACAGGGTTACAGCTCCTGGAACCCTCATTTATTCATTTTGCTAGCATGCACATGTGCTAGCTAAGTACCAGAGAGCAGGCTGTACCAGAGTCCTGTGCTAGAGCTTAGGTAAGGCCCAGCTGCAAAGGCTTGGGACGTGGTGGAGCCTTAACAAAATGGCGGCCAGCAGGAGGAACTTGAAAGATCAGTAGGTCCCCAGGCTCCTCGTCTCTCTGCTTTTATTTCCTGGCTACCATGAGGTGGAGGAGTAGAATACCTCACCATGTACTCAAACTTGATGACCTGCCAGAGCCCTAAGGAGACAGGGCTAAGTGACCATAGACTGAACCTTGGAAATCATGGGACCAAATAACCCTTTCCTATTCCAGCAGCGGATACACTCAGACACCATGGCAGAATGTCAGCCATCCAGGGAGAGTGGAAAACAGTGAGCAGCCTCAATGCAGTCTGATTATTTGGAGTCATGCAGGAACCCCTGCTCTCCCCTCCTCTAGATCACACCACTGCTCTCACCCTCCCCTCTAGATCACACCA